TTGTCAGATGAAACTAGGTTCTGCAGGGCATTTATGAATTCAATACTACAAAGTTTTCATTGCTGTTCTTTTTTGCTCTCAACGCAATGGCAGACAAAGGATTTTCCTTCAAAAGCTAAGTCACTTGGCATAAAAAATTGATATTTAGCCCCTAAAAACCTCCCTGGTTCATCAAAATAAAAGTTCAAACCAGAATCTTCAAAAACAAGAGTAACATTCATTTACCTCCTTTTTTTAAATCCACTACATGTTTTTCTAAGCCCATAAAATATATTAAAAAGAAGATGTTATTAGCAAGACCCTAAGCTGTATCCCAGTTAAATGTCTTAATATGAACTCAAATCTCAAACGTTACTACAAAATCCATTTGATATATTTAAATTAAATCAGAGCTTTATTTATTTTAACAAAGCTTTAATTATCTAGATAAGTCAGCCTGTGAATTTTTGAGCAGCTGTGTTCAAATTGTCCACTCTTTCAGAATAGTTTATTTCATAGTATTCGATTTTGAAATCCTAAAAAGTAAATAGCCACCCATTTAGTAAAACTAGACATTTATGAGGGGCAGCATGGTGTAGTGGTAGATCATCCAGTTTATATGTAAGGCCTTAAAGCAGGATTTGGCTCCAGGTCTGCCTCCTTCTCACTCTGCCTGTCTCCTGTTATCAATAGTTAGCTCAATACAATGTTAGAATGCCTACAATTGCAGTTGGGCCAAATTCATTGTAAGTATGCTAAGACCAATGGATGGCTCACTACTGCTGGGAGCATGCCACAACCCCATCCGTTCCAGAAGCATGATTCGTACCATCAGCTCATTTACGCATGCAAATGATGTTGGATTTAAACATAAATCTAGTCTTTTTGAGTTTTATATTTTCCTTTCGTGTTACCTTTATGGGATATAGTCTGTAACCTAAAGAAAGCATTTACTAAAATGCAGATAAACATGGTTTAATCATATTTTGCCAGACTACTCTGAGCATGTCCGATGATGTCAGACTAGCAGTTTAACGCTGAAAATGTGAAAAGCATCTAAATTATCTCAGAAAAAAACTTTTTAAGGGGATGTATTAGCATTATTTAGAGAGTTAAGGATATAAATTAGTAATTCTAGTACCATAGTTATATTATTTATGGAAATCCGAGTGTATACAGTATCTGGTTGCTTATGCGCAAATGAGCTGATGGTACGGATCATACTTCCAGGACGAGTATGCCAACACTAACGATAAGCTCAGTGCTAAAGCAACTAAAACCACTAGAAAAAAGCTCATGGCAACAGCTATAGTAGGAACTGTGGCTTTCATACTTGTTTAACATCAACAGTGATTTTCCAGATTTCTCAATTTTAAAATAGCCTTCTTGTGACTTGAAGGCTTTAAAAATGTAATAAAATTTATATTTGAGCACTACCAAAAAGCAATAAATACTTTAAAGATCTCTAGTGTCTTTTTGTCTAGTTTGATATTTTTGAGATAAATATTTGTACAATAAAAAAATACCACTTTGAAGATTTAGACATAGACAGGCTGAAATGAGCAAAATGTCAGGGTATTTTATTGATGGTCTGTCAAATCGTAAATACTTTTCATGGTGGGTATGGGCAATGCAAAACTGCATTACTTTTTACCCAGATAAGTCTGATACAGTACAACATAATCTCCAAAGGTATGAAATGTAGTTTCTATGAGTTAATCTAAGTATAAATCACTCAGTATATGAGTGAACATTTTGAACACAGCATGAGTCTCTGATTGGTTGATCTTGGTCTGCATCAGTAAAAACACAGGAGGAGGAAGTCTTTTGAAACAAGGAAAAGCAGAAGACTGAGATGCACAGTGACACCTGCATACCGATAGATAAAATCAAGAGATTTGATGCTGAAAATATAGTTTAGGTAAAAAGACAAAAACAAAGAAGAAAACATTTTTATCAGCTACTATAAGTCTAATTTTCTCCCACAAATTCTTCAAATGCCCCAATCCTTCCATCTCATGCAGCATCCTTCCACCCAGTACTTTGCTGTGTTTTAAAAACAGTGCATCGTTTTGTTCTGTTTTGCTACAAATAGAGAAGTAAACAATTTTCATATTAGAAGCTCCTTAGCAGATTGAAAGTTTTAATTTAAAGATCATGACAGACAAAGACAAAAATATTGACGATAGTTTGAAGGATACATGTTTTTGCTGAACATACCTAAAGACTGCATCAGGTAAAATTTAAAGTAATTTTATACGATGGAGTAAACTGACATGGAGACGATAAGGTAATAAATGGTCAACTCCTTAACCAAAACTTGAACTCTCAAAGTAATTATATTGCACCAACAGTCTGCGGCTTTAGAAGACTGATTTATAAATAAAAGTTTAAAATAATCCACCTATGTATTATGAAATAGACAAACAGGTTTACTAAATGCAAAGGTATAGTTCTTAGCCCTTGGTTTATTATATTCTCATAGTATGATATTTTACTTGCTGTAAAAGTTGTTTAATTCCCAAAAAGATTTCAGCTTTCAGTTTCAAAAAAAAAAAAAAAGGTTTTATATATATATATATATAATTTAAAGGTGTTATAGGTCAGGGCAATTTGTAAAAACATAGTGATAAAATGATCAAAAAGGTATTGCATGGTAACAAATAGCAATATTCTGTTCATATTACTTCTGTCTTCTTACATTGCATATATTTTGACAGCAAAGCCGCAGGTCAATATTCATTTCTTGTGACTGGAAAACCTTGAGTAAAAATATAACAAATTCAGTAGCCTAGCTCTATCTACATAAAAAAAAAATCGTAATTTCTGTGGTAAGTTTTATATTTCATACGTATAATCAAATTCAGGTTGGATTCCTACAACCCGCAGCTCTTTGTAAATTCAACTGAAAGCTAGAAGGTAACACTTTTGACAGCAAGTAAAAATTAGTCTTTAATTCTTAGACACAGTTGACTGACAGCGCAAAATCTGCCTTGGACAAGGGAGCACTCCGCTTTGAGCCGTAAATTATAGTTTTTTTTCTTTATTCCAGCAACTTAACCAAGCACTTTATTGGCCATGGTAGTCTGCTAGCCTTTATGCTACAAGCAAATATACTAAGACAATTAGATTAGGGCAATTTTTCCCTTCAAAACATTATATTTAAAAATGCATTGCTTTTCACTCTGATAGTAGACGATCCATAACATTTTGTGCATTTTCCTACCATGAAACACTACTGACTCTGTCAAATTTAACTAGGGAAAATGTTCTTCTGAGTGTTTAATGCAAAATTACAATGAGTTTATCCATGCTTGTTATGTTTTCCTTCCAATCATCTTTTAGTTAAAATCCTTAGATGTAGCAATCTATGAACAGCCTAGATTTTTAGCAATGACATTCTGCAGTCAGCAGTTTCATATTTGTTTTTGTAGGACATAAAATGCAAAAACTAAAGTTTTACGCGTAAAAATCCTTTTTTGTGGTAATTTGTGAAGAAATAGTTGTTTTTATCTGGCTAACGAGACTGTGTGTGTAAAGAGATTCAGTATTTTTATTTCAGTTGCTTGAATAAATTAACATTTCAGCCTGGTTTGTTTTTAGATGTACCTTTTGTCAGCTCACAAAAACTGCTGTGGAGGCACTGTGCTCCTGTGTATTCCTAAAGCTACAGAATATGCCACACTGTCTAACTGTAGGAAGGCTATAAGGCAAGACGTCACTGTTTTCCAAACTGACTTCTTAATCAACTGTTTTTTAAAGCCAAAAACTGGTCCATTGCAATTATGAAAAAAAAAAAAAAAAAAGATTTAATATAATAAAAAAAAAGAGCATGGGTTTGCAGGCACTAAGTGGATATACTTTTATAAATATAAAAAAATATTTTTCATCCTGTTTTTCTCTGTCTTTAATATCTGGCAAAGGAGTATCTTTTCATTTGTTTTCTAGCATCTAAGGCAGCGAGGCTAAAGAAGGCTATCTGTTTCGATAACAGGCAAGATAACCAACAACACTTTCAACTGACTGTGGGGACTCAAATGGAAAGAGTAAACAAAAACAAAGAACAATACAAAAGAAAAATGAGAACATTTCCTAAACCTCAGGATTTGAAGGTACCAAGTTAATATATATATATATTTTTCTCCTATTTAAGTTTTCTTTGTCATTCATGGTAAAACACAACGTAACACGTTCAACCCATAATAAAAGCAACAGATGTCGCAGATTGCTAAAGATTCTAGCATGCTAATAAGACATGAAACACTGTAGGCAACAATCTCTTAAGACTAGTTTATATATTTAACCCAACATCATAATCGTCTTTGATCAAATGTTGGGTTTTGCTCTCTAATTTATGAAATCTATTACAATTTGTAACCTAAACACATGTAGACAAACTAGAAGTTATAAAACTTAAAACAGTTTGACGTATTGCTAAAAAAATAAAAACACATGCGTAGGAAGAACAGAAGTAAACAAAACGAAACATACTAGACATAACACTAATTTAATCGACCCTTTGACGTGTTCATACGATGTGTCACATGCTGTTGTGAAGGCAGGTTGGTTTGCACGTGTGACCCCTGAGGACTGAGAAACTGAGCATTCTTTATGTTTACATCATTGCTTAGGGACGGACGAAAACCCTTTGATCCTCACACATACACAGACACTATAAACGCAATAACAAATGTATACCTGCGCACTCAACCCCCTCAACTGTTGTACCTTTTTTTTCGTTAGACGGGTTTTATCAATGTAACAAATCTCAATAAAGACAAAAACAAAAGAAAAGAGCTAAAATATGCAAATTTTTATAGTACCATTTCCTTTAAAAAAAACCTTTACAAAACAACAAATAAGAAAATGTAGCAAATTGCATTTTTGTTTAGTTACACCATCATGGTTCTTCTTGTTATTACCATTATTATTAATATTCATATTATTAATATTAATGTCAAGCAGGTTAATAAATGTTTGTTCTATTTAGGCAGGCAGCCAGGCACATAGCTTGTATCATGGCACAGAGAAAGGTAAAAAATAAAGTCTTTAGTTTTTTTGTTGTTGTTTTTTTTTCATCCAAATGATGAAAAGAACACTTTAGACCAGCTTTATCAGTTTGACCTGGATTCAAGCAGTTTCAGAAAGGGTTAGCTCTAGTCTTCAGCCACCATGTAGATTTAGCATCGATCCAGGACCAGTTTGATAAACAGCACATGATAAAGTTAAAGGAACCGATCTATTTCGTACCAACAGATATGCAAACAAGCCCTAGCTGGTTTCAAGCAAAAATAGTTTGAAAACACCTTAAAGTGTCTCTTTTTGGTTTTTGATCCATCTGATAGGGAGAATAAAAATGTTCTGGGCAAGAGCACAGCAGTTCTAACCAGATCACGTCTGGTTGTTCTGAATGAAATGCTGAATGCAGCAAAGTTCAAGTGTTATACAGTACTTCTTCTCTCATTGTTTCATGTCTTTCTTAGCCCAGGCGTTAATCCTCCCATATGAATGCACAAAGATTGGCCGTTTCTGAGAGTTGATTGCAGCTGGATGCCAGCACCCTGTTGACTTCCTGCCACAAAGCTGTCAGGTAAGCCATAGCTCAGGAAAGCTTTCAGGCTGCTTTTTTCCTACAGCTCCGTCTGTAGTTCACCTGGGTCCTGCAATAATTTCTCCTAGTCTTTGACAGTGGGAGGGCTCTTTTGAAGGTATTTCCATTAGGAAATGGCCAAACCTCCAGGAACATAAAGCCTAATACTCCAATAACAGGTTATTAAAGTTTGTGAGAGATATTTAATTTCCATCGGCGAGTCCGTCTAACATCTTAGTCCCCATAGTTGTGAACTCTGTGGACTCTGCTGTCCCACCTAATTCTTTACTTCTTTTTTGCTCTTTTTCAGCCTCTGGTATACTTTTAATATTCGAGTCTTGCTTTTTTTGGTCGTCATGACCTGTTTTCAAGACCTCATCCTCTTCATTTGTGATCCCTCCATCTTCCTGCTCCACCGTCAGGCTTTCAAGCTCTGGTGCTGCCGTTCCATGGAGAGGTTCACCCTCTGGTATGGTACATTTCTGCTGAGGCAGTGGAAGCGTTTTATGCAAACCCCTCTGTATGTGCGTGGTGAAGTCATAGCGGTCCGTGCACACGTGGAGGCAAAACGCACATTGGTAAGGCTCCTTCTCACCATGGCAGCTCATGTGCAGGGCATACATGACTTCGTCCACAAAGTAGATGCCGCAATGGGCACAGCGGTTGGCAAGGTCATCCTGTGTGGCTGCATCGACTTTCGAGCAGTTAGGCGCATTGCTTGACTTACGTTTTCCTTCCTCTGACATCTCTTCATCTTCCTTCTCGCCTCTCCAGTTTCCAGCTGATGTCTCACTCTGGGGGGACTCCTGTGTTTTCCTTTCAGGACCCTCTGGCATGTGGGTGTTTGTGCTGCTCAAATCTCTTTTTATTGCAAGATCCAAAGGAGCGTCGTTTTCAGGTGAAGCCGAAGATGAGGTTTGGGTATGATGAGGAGGAGGGGGGTAGTGAGCGGGAACTGGATGTGGTGGGAGAGGAGAGTAAGGGGACGCACAGTAAGGCACTGTGTATCCTGGCTGGTGATACTGTACAGGGGTGACCATGGTTCCAAGTTGGTGGGTGCTGTTTCCAAGCCCACTGGGGCTGTTTAGATTACTGATGGTACTAGGAACCCCAGAGGTGGCTGCCATCTTATACTTAGTCCAGAATCTGAGCCAATCAGATTCAGGTGTCAAATCAGGTGACAGGGTCAAAGGCAGAGCTAATGGGAAAAGGGGATATTGATATTTTTCAATCGGCGAACCTGGAGGTGAGTAACTAGAGGGTTTAGATGGACGCATGTACTTTTCAATTGGACTTCCTCTCTCTGATCCTCCACCTTTCCCAACATCTAGTTTTGACGTTAATCCACCATCTGCAATTCCACCATTGCTCTCAGCCACTATGCTTGATGCAGGATGAGATGGAAGGAGGAGAGGAGGCATGCGCCTATGGATCTCCAGCGTCTGATTGGCTAAGAAGGCTTGAGTTGACCGTGGGACCGAGAGCGCGGGGAAGGCTGCTGGGTTTTCGCTGATGGGCAGCTCCTGCTCTCAGACTCCTCACCATTCAGGCGCTCCTCACTGGTGATTCGCTGCTGCTTAGGGGCCGGATTGTCGGACGACAACGTATCTGGATTGAGCCGTTTTCGGGTTCGCCGGCGGATGATTTGCTCACCGTTGTTCTGCTTGATGATGTTCAGCGGCCTGGGAGTCTGCAGAGAAAAGAAGACAGTGATATCAGACAGTTTCCCATTCTGTTAGATGAGTAAGGCTGTTAATTACCAATAAATATGTTTACTGATTGAGAAGCCATTTTAATTGTATACAGTGTGATCAAAAGTAGATAAAATATGGTTGAAATAACTTATTTCTAAAACTATTCATAATAACAAATAAAGCCAAAATATTTTTTTCTGTGCACTTAAACATGTAAATGTCTGTTGATTGATTATTCTGATTTATAATTGTGATATTTTACACTCATAATCCTTTAAGATCAACAACTGCTGTAACCCACACTTTTTGCCCTAAACACAAGGGGGCACTCTCCTATCTTATCAAATTTACCTCCAGGACACAAGCCTAACTCTACCATGAAAAGTGGCAGGGTCCTAAAAGCATTGCATTTTAATGATCTTTAACTAAAACATCTGTTTGAAGATTAAGAAGATATTCAGCTTTGCATTCAGATGTGTTAGTAAGCACATGCCTTCTTTTCTTCAAGGTAGAATGAACTGCAGACACTGATGAGAATTTGCTCATTTATTTATGTAGATTAAAAAGTGACTTCAGAATTCCCATAATACAGAGTCTAAATTCTCTTCTGAATTATTAAAAGTATATTTATATTTGTTTTTTTATTTTTTAAGATACAGATCTGAATATTATAACGAGGATTTAGTTCATTTATGACTCCTAAGTTAATGCCTTGAAAGGTATTCTGTAATTTCACGAGCTTTGTAAACATAAAAAGAGATTTTATTTCTATTTTTCTTCTTCAAAAGTTATTTAAGATTAGTCATATATATTTAAATGATGTGATCAGTAATTTTTTAATCTTTTGTTTTGTCTTTGAATCTTAATTTTAATAGGTCATTTTAACACCTGAACAAGTTTTGATCCAAACCAACTTGTTGCAACTCTGGCTGCATGTTTCTGGTCGTTTCCTGGAGGAAGATGAACCTTTTAGGGTGAAGTTTTCAAGGTTTTTGTAGCATTTAAAGAGGTTTAGATTTTTGTTTTTAGATCATTTAATCATATTTAAATTTTATTTTGTGCTCCTTGATTTTCATGATGCATTTTGCTCAAACTTGTTCTCCAAGAAAGCTCTAGGGACTTTAACACAGCAGCTTGGTTGTACTGAGATTAAACTGCACCCAAGTGGACCAATTTCACTAGTTACTTAACAAGGCAAGTCAATGTGTTGGATTTTATTTAGGGGCACTTTGTCGGATTTATAAAACTATTTTAACTATTTATATGCATTTGTTTTTAATTCAGAACTTGCTTATTCGTTAGTTTTTCCAGAGTTCAGTCTAATGATTACTCAAACAGCAGAAATTCAGTACAACAGATTATTGCTGCAGCATTTGAAATAAAGTCTGCTTAGTTTTTCATTTTAAAGTGGCAACAAAGGTTTCATTTTTTGCCTGGAGTCTAGTGCCTCTTGCAATTACTAGAAAACGAAAAACCTCAACCATGAAATGCTAAAGTCCTTAGTAGGGTTGGGAATTGAAAAGATTTTCACGATTCCGATTCCCTTTTCGATTCTATGCAACGATTTGATTCTTTATCGATTCTTTTTTCGATTCCAATTTGGGGAAAAAAGAACAAACAGTTTGATTATCAGCATCAACTTTTTTTACTTAACTATTGCACAATCTTACAAAATCAACAAGATCAAGATGTCCACAGGAAATGTAAAACTGGAGTAACATCCGTGTTTAAATGAATAAAAATACAAGAACAAACTTAATAACCAACAATGTCTAATAACAAACGATGGGATTAGGGCTGCAACTAACGATTATTTTAAAAATCGATGAATCGGACGATTATTTTTCCGATTAATCGATGAATCGGACAAAAAATATTTTTTATAACAACCTCTTTATTCCAAAATAAACATTTTAGACAGAACAAACAAGCACACAAGTACAGGTTGCTCATTAACTGTACTGGTGCAATATGAAAAATAAATGTTTGTGTTAAAACTACGCAAACTTACATGAGAAATGTAGCTGTACATCCACAAAATATAGGCTACTTTGTTTCATAAAGCGCAAAAAAAGACATTTTTGTTTTTAAAAGCCCCTAAGGGGTTCAAACAATAGGCCCCCCATTTCAACAAATGAGTTTTTTTTAGACTAGAAGAGTTCTGCCTTTTAAGACAGGAAAGTATAGCAGTTAAAGTTGCTACTTGAGAAAATACTTAACCATAGAGATAAAAATAGCCCTGTGATTCAAATTATAAATTGTATTTGGAATAAAAATGAGAGAACTAGGGGTGCTAAAAAACACATCCTCCAAAGACTCCAATTTACATGGGAATGTGGCAGATAATTAATTGACATATTACTGATCTTGCTGGATTTTATTCTGCTTTACTTCCATAAATTCCAGGATCTTCTTTACTTTATCTTCGCCAGAAGATTTAAACTTTAAAAGCCTTGCCCTCATAATTTGCAAGTTAATTTATTTATAAAGTAAATGTAAACGCTGCTTAAGCTAATTGAAATGAAATTAAAAGTAAAATAAGTAGCCAACCTTATCACTGTCTGTAACCTACTAACACGGTAAGGAAAGCATCGGATGAGCTACCTGAGAAACTAACGTTACGTTTCCCCACTTTAAAACCAAACAAACATGGTGGTTCCGTGCCATGTTAATTTCTTTTGAAAAAAGTTGCATGTTATCACTTTTTTCGCTTTACAAAGCGCAGGCTATTTTAATTATTGTGATCAATTTGCGCCGTCAATCCCGGTGCATGCGCGCTTCATTTGCAGTCTGGACGCTGAGGCTCTGACTGCAGCTGAGAGGGACTCCTGCGGGAGCGGGGGGAGGCGCCCCACGGCAGAGTAGGAACGATACATGCTTTCACGTAAGAGTCTCCAAAAGCTGCCAGTGAAACCGAAAAAAGTCGCCAGATTTGTCGCTAGTCGCTTTTTTGAAAAATAGTCGCTGGAGGGGTCTGAAAAGTCGCTGAGTTGGCAACACTGCTCCTGCGTCGCTGACTCGCTCTGCCATATTTTTTTTTCTTCCTCTTTCAGTCAAGAGGCAGTGATGACGGCGCGGCGGATGACGCAATAATCGCGCGACACAACTAATCGATGATGAAATTCGTTGCCAACGCTTTTAAAAGTCGATTTTTATCGATTTTATCGATTCGTTGTTGCAGCCCTAGATGGAATAATAACCTATTTTAAATAACAAAAAATACTAATTATAAAACAGTAGTAGGGAAAATTAACAGTTATTTTGCAGAAAGATGAGCATATCTGCTTTTTCTGGAAGGATACAGGATCTTTCAGGGCTTAAGGTGTCTCCAGCCGTGAGAACACCCTCTCAGATGGGATGGAGGAAGCCTGCACACAGAGGTAGTTTTCAGCTAGTCCAGATAGCAAGGGCAGCGTATCTTGCTTGTTCCACCAGCACAGTGTGGCGCTATCCCTGCAGGGGATGGAGGGCAAGCTTTTATAGAGCTGGATTTCCTGATCTACCCTCTGGGCTAAGGAAAGACGGGGCTTTGATTCACAAAGTGACCGCAGCTCGTTGTCTTCCTCCTCGAATAGTTCTTCCAACTTGCGTAACTTGCGTAACTTACGTAACTTACGTAAAAAACGTGACGTAAGTCGTGCTCCCCAGAGCCGGCGCTCTAGGCTCTGGTGCTGCGGGAATCGAAAAAAGAATCGTTCAGCGAGCTGCCAAACGATGCCATGGAATCGGAAAATACGGAACCGGTTCTGAACAGGAACCGGTTTTCGATTCCCATCCCTAGTCCTTAGCACCACTTCACTTTTCAAGTTATATATAAAATACCACAAAAACAATATCAACTGAAATCCACAACATTTTTATAAAAAAGAATAATGGAAACCTCTCTGTACTTTTTTAACAAAATGCAGATAGTCTCCACTGTTAACTGAGGAACAAAGATTTATACACAATTTAGAAGTGGGTCAATATCCTAAACAAGATTACATCACTGACAGAAGTAGCAGCCTAAACACTGACTAAATTATAACAGACATTTCTATAATTCCCTATAGTTTCCCTGTTTGTTTTTCTTTCCAAAGAGACATAAACAAAGAGGAGAGATAAATCACAAGTGGGAAGCAGCATGTTGAGGAAGCAGAGGAGAGAGAGAGGTCAAGAATAAAGAGAAAAAAAATAAATAAGGACGCCCTAGAGACCTACTTCCAGGCTCTGGAGCTGGGATCTGAATCAGCTGACTGTGGAAGCAGACAGAAAGGACAAATAACGGAAGACTAATCAATTTCTCCGAAGTATAAAGAGGGACATGTTTCCCAGAGTGCAACGTGCAAGGAAGTGACAAACAAATCCTGCAATGATGGCATACATTAAAAAAATGATGCCAATGCAGATTTGCAAGCATCACAGGTTGTGAAAAAGTTTTAAGCTGAAGTCTGAACAGCCCTAAAAGTCAGCCCTTTGTATGAAAAGCTGTTTTTCATTGAGAAGTACAAGATTTCTTCTTTCTCTTATGCTTTTTCCTTTACTGTTTTCTTCTCGCTGTTCCAACCAAAGATAATTTGACTCTTCAGATGTCAGTGCACATACAGCGCCTTGCAGAAGTATTAAAAGTCCTCTGGCAAAAAACTTCTCTCTTTAGATTTATTTTCTTTGAAAATACTCTATAAAGTCATGAGTTCTTACCATTTTTTTTTGTAACATAATGGATAGTGTGTGTGTGTGTTGGGGGGTTACTTTTTTAATTCTGTTGCCCATTGTTTAAGCATTTTTGCTACTTTGGCCCACTCCTATTTCTCTGGTTCAAGATAAATACCTCAAAATCAATAGGACACTTGGTCAGAAGTGCATCAGTGGTCGCCATAATAGGTGCTACCCAATAAGTCTTGATGGAAATAGGATGAACAGGCAGTATGCTCCGATTGATCAATTCAGTTTGTATAGGGATTTTCTGATATTTCTGGCTTCCAATAGGAGCTATAACATTCCTTGCAATCCAAAGGGTGACATGATGTGAAAGCTTAAACGGTTTGTTACATTTCTGTAACTTTTTTTTTGTTTTGTTTTCCAGCATGGCAGATCGGAGTTTGTTTCCCACTCCTATAGTTTGATAACTGTTGACGTGAGGTGAAAGGATAGGAGCTAGGAACAGGAGAGGTGCTATGATTTGAGGTATTCGGAAGGAGCCTGTTTTTCTTTTCTTTCTTTCCTCTTAATACACAAAATATCAGTTTTAATAACAGAGATGATGCGTTGAGCCAAATGCATCACCAAGAGCACCTACGCACTGGTCAAGCAATAATATTACTTTGACCATCGGGTGGTTTGACTTGACAAAACAGCCGTTAGGGAATCCTTTCGTACCTCTTCTTGGCTACTCACCGCCACCTTGGATAATCAATAGTGGAAACCTAGATACGCACACCTAAAAAAGGGCACATGTCTATCCCCCCAAACAATTAGACATTGGTTTTAGGCTAAATCTAGTCAGTCATAGTCTTGATGTAGTCCAGAAATGGTTGTTGACTATTGGGCTGTGTTTGGTCAGTCTGATTTTGTCCCTACTTAGTTTATTAATGAACGGTGAAAAGATGTAGAAAACCCAGTTTTCTACATCTTTTCAACGATTTGAAAATTATGTCTTTTCACCTTTAACTTTTCAACCAAATGTAGACGTAGCTTGGACAAATCATGTCATCTTTTCAATGTCTTTTCAACCAGTTTTTGCTCAGCTGTTAAAAGGAGATAATGTGTTCACAACACCTTTACCACAGCCACTAGGCTAGTTAAAATTTACATTGATCTGGCCTAATTTCACTGTAATTTTAACAACTGACAGAGTAACAGCTGGATACACTAAAAAATGTGCTGTTGCAGCACTCTGCCAAGTATCTTATACTTTCCAAACCTAAAATATAGGATTTATAAGACAAATCCCCAAAAATTGCATAAATATAGACAAGGCACTGCATGTGTTTTTCAGAGAGGTTCAATACTTCCTGTAACTGAGATATTGTGTTTTAAAGTAGTCAAAATTATTCAGCTTTATAATAAAAAAAAGCTTAGCTATGATACAACAGTAGGTAAAATAGGGTAATGATTTCATTATTAGGAAAACAATACACTCTTTTCTGTTTTTTCCTCAAATCCTGTGCATACATGACACCACATCAAACAAAGCAGCTAATTATAATGTTTTCACTTTTATGTAAATAGAGATAGAGGGCTTAATAGAGGGCTGACTAACTGCCAGTAGGCATAATTCCTGCTGTATTTATCCATCCTTCCATCTGTTTCCATTTGTTCTTGAATGTAGAATTCGGCATTTTCTTTTAATCTCTGCGACCGCCTCCATATTTTACTCTTCAGATGCCCCCTGCCCCTTCATTATCCTCGCACTGCCTTTATCTTTTCCTCCATTTTTTCCATCTAAGTTTATTTGTCTATTCAGCCCTATTCCTACTCTTCATTTCTTTCCATCTGCCTCTTTCTGCCTCTTTATTCATAACTCTCCCTTCCCTTCTAGGACTCTCAAGTGTTTTACTAGCTGCTATCCTCTCTAATAATGTGTGTAGAGCGTATAAAACTTTTATTATGGGATATAAAATATGGTTGTCGTGAAGACTGCCAAGAGTGGAGGAAGCCTGGACGTGATTGGAGCAGCAGATGAGATTAACGGGTTGAACCAAGGACATCTTTTGGAGGTAGGAAGGAGGAAACTACATGGTAAATTCTTCCGTAACTTGTCATCTTAACAGGATTGTAGTAAGGTCAGCCCACTTATTCAGTCATTAACAGCGTAAACCTATTTCGCTTTAGAGCATTTACATTTAACAGAATTTCTAAATGTTCAAATTTTTTTTTCCAATCTCAACTTTTAAGAGTTATCAGTTCTTTATGCAAATTTTAAGGATACAAAGAAGAGTGGAAGACAGGAATAAAAACCCCTGAAGACAAGAAGAAATGGAGGAAATTGAGAAAGAAGTATGAGTACTAAGAAGGAAGGACATAAAGAAGGACAGAGGAAGGGAGAAAGGATGGATGGAAACAAAAAATAAAGGAAATGTAAAGTTAAGGAAATAATAAAATGAGAAAATATGTAGAATAATTAAAGACTTTTCCAAACTCTAGGAAACCAGTTTTAAAGAACAGTTTAAGAAACATGAAAATTATAAGTTAGAGACCCAGTATAAATCTGATATTATTTGTAAAAAGCATAATTAGAATGAATACCTTGAGAGGATGTCTGATTAAGCTTGATATCCTCAAGTCAACTAAAAATCAAGCTGGCTCTTTATCTCAGCTGAACTTCATGCAGACTAATTAAATTTGGGATTACCATCGACTTTCCCCCGGCTTTGATGGTAAACTCCATCCATTTCATCATATTTCTCACTCTATGGAACTGGCTCACTGCAATTGCCGAAAGGCCCCCTGACTCCCAGATCTTCTAAAATTGACTCTACTTTCTTTTTCTTCTTCAGCTCTATGACTTTTTCACAGTGAGAATCAAAGAACAGATACAAAGCTTTTAACTGCATTATGCACAATTTTATTTGCATCGTATACTAATTGGCCACACAGGAAGAATGATAATTAGTGGGAGATGCCATGCTGCATGCACACTAAAACACAGTAGTCCATAAAATGGCAACTGAACAACCTTTCTTTTATGGGTCTCATATGAGTGGATAGCAGTTCAGCCCTTCAAATTAATTTTCATCACTTAGACAAATTTCCCTTACTTATTGCCAAAACTTCACTCCCAGTTCATTCTCTCAATATTAAAACTGTTCTGGATTGTGATTTGGCGTAATTATAATTACTTATTTGCAAAATAATATCAACAACAATATTTGATTTGAACAGAGGAAAAGTATAAAAAAGGGTTACTATTTTTTTTTTTTTTCACAACAAATACATCTAAGGTACTAATTTTTCTTTATCGCCCAAATAAAAAAAACCAACAACAATGACACAAAGCTGAGACTGAACTAAAGGTAAGGCATTATCAAACATATGGATTGCTGATAAATTACTGTCATTTTAGGACATTTTAAAATCTTTCTACTTAGCTCCTTCATTAAGTTTGCAAAACGATGACCATTTGGAAATATTAGGGTAGCCTTAAGTGTTGGTTATCATGATTTGCTTTACTTTTGTAAGTTTTTGGGACCCTTGAAATATAAAAATCCCATTTTCAGGGAATGGATGTAGATTCTACAGAAAATACCTGTGCCTTAGAACAAAAAAAGTCAACACCTGAAAATTAGATTAACATATCTCCCTCACAATTATTTTTGCGTTAAAGTTCCCTTGGCTGAAATTCTGATAATTTTTACTTCTTTAAAATCCACATGTCAAATGAGATAATATTGTAAGCCAATCCATTTTTCTCTTACATAATTTAAGTTTGTCTGAGATAAACAAATACAAGAAGCATGACTAGCTCCTGTTTTTGTCCGTTGTTTCCTAGATCTCCCTGTTTCCAGTACAAACATAATGCAAAACCTGCGCCCCTGAATAATAACCGACTGAAAACTCAAACCCTAATAAATATTCTATTAGAAGCATGAATTTATGAATGCATAATAAACAAAGCGGAGGCAAGTTCTTTTAAATTAAGAAGTTGTGTCCCGTTTTTGCATTAAAATACCTAAAAAAAGCTTTGGATCATCATCTGGGACAGTGGCAATCCCTTATTTAGGCCCTGGGCCAGCTTCTAATTCCTTTCTATACAAATTCAGAATCTTGTTCACTTTAACATGCTGCCGTCTCTTCTTCGGGCATTGACAAATTTTATTTCAAAATTATATTTGATTCAGCAACGACAATCACTGAGTGATGATGCCAGGTTTGGCAAAATCTGCACATAAAAATAAAACTAATAAGAGCGCATACACATTTTATTAAAAGAAAAAAAAAAACATTTTCCGTTTTTTATTACTCCCTAAAACTCCTGCAGACCTGAGAAAAGCGGCCCAAATTTTATCAACCTACAAAAAAGCTAGTTTTCCTTTTTGTTCGAAAGAAACCCAATTAGATTGAAACCTGCCAGTTCTGGCAACATGTATGTGTCCTTGTTAGTTGCTGACTTACCGAATGTAGCTTTTGGTATAACCCACATGCGTTGCAGACGTAGCCTCCGTTAGCATTTTTCCTCCACAAGGACGTCTTGGTGGTGAGACAGTTTGCACAGAAAACCCCACTACCTCTGCGTCGCTGCAAAGAGACAAAACATACATGATTAGACGCCTAAAGAAAAACTTTTACAGATGAAGAACAATCACTTTAAGGAATAGAAGTAATAATGACAAGGGAAGAGCAAGAAGTGCAGAAGTGCAGTTTTTTTGCCTAATTTGAAGTAATTCCGTTTTAATGGGCATGCTACAGATGACTGATCCAGTAGATGAGGTTCTGAGATGGGCAGAGAGACTACCACCTTGGCTCTGTGGCTGAAGAACACTGAGTTCTCATTTGCCATGCCATCCCGTAACAATAGCAGTGACATTAACCCTTTCCAAAACTAACAGCACTGTGAAAGGTAAATCATCCAGTTCAGTGTAATGCACTATATTAAGGATAATGTATAATTTTGTCTTTAAATTGCACTTGCAAACCCTGTAAATAATGACCAAAGACTTTGACCTTGCAGCAATGAAAAGTGTTGCTGAGAACAGCTGGAGGCCAAAGCTGGACTTTTGCTGTATGGGCGTATGCTTTCACATATACACACCTCTGCAGTTCACAGTGCAGCGGTGCATACAGAAGCAGTGTGTGCAAAGAAGGGTGTAAAGAGGTGGTGGGGGGGTGAAAAGGCCAATTGTTGTGGCAATGTGCTCCATCACAGTAATGAGCCAATCACAACGTTTCTCCATCCTATTAAGCCTCTGGCCCCACTCGCCACCTTTATGACCCTTTGAGGACAGCACACCTCGTCTTTCTCCTCTGTGACTCCTAGTCTCACAAACCATTTCCATCCCTCTTTCAGTTATTAAAATGAAATTTCATCATTGTATTTATTCGCTCCCCAGTTCAGTCTTTCAAATCCTGTTCTCAGCCAAAGAGGGAGCCACAACTGTATTTCCCATGATGACAAAGTGAGAAATTGTTGTGATGAAAGGTAAATCCCAATGCCCAAGTATAAGAAGTAAAAAATGGAAAATATGCATCGGGGTTTGTTTCTGTGAGTATATAAGTAAGCTAGGCTGTGGCATGATGTAAGTAGATGTAGGTAACTGTTCAGGGATTGCTAAGAAGAAAGAAAAAAACAAAACCAATTCTCCAAACCAAACAGGGCATAGTTTGATATTATTTTAGGGTTATAGACCATTTAACATTTCTTTAGAGAAATGCTGTTTTTTATATAGGTAAAAATAATTTTTGCAAAAATTTGCATGCCTACTCCTAGCACTGCTAAAGGTGTTTTTTCTTTAGTTTTTTTATTCTGTGTTTATGACAGCTAAGAGTTACCCATAACTTTAGAGAAATCTCTGAACGTCAAGCTTAAAAAAAAAAAAGCACTGATGAGTGCCTCACTTCAGCTACGCTGCGATTAGCTTCAGAGCTACAAATGGAACCACTTCGAGCACCTCCACTCTGCATCTGCTTGGTGTTGCAAGCTAAAAGCATATGAACCCAGTAGGCACAGCTTTGTTTGGGTTACTTATTCATTGCATTTTTTTTTTCACTGCATTTACCAAAGCCTAAAAAACCACTTAATGTTTCTTGCGGGATCCCACAGATGCAAACACATTGAATGACCCAACTGATTTTGTCCAAAAACACATGCAAAACAACCAAAGAAGGAGTGGCAGCTGAAAATGGAGTCAATCAATATAAAGTACACCTGCAGTTTGTTAATAGTCAAGAATAAATATGGTGTAACGTGGTAACAAAACCATTCATTTGAAGTACCAAACCACCTTTTAATAAAAGTAAAAACAAAGAAAACAAAACAACAAAATTCTCATATTGTTTCAGTAAGAATGCTGTTTCTACTGGTCTTTTACATGCTAAATACAGAGATGTCACTAAATGTAGGCTGTTTTTTAGAGATCCAGTGATCACCATGGTAAGAAATGCTGTTAAAGATGCCTCCCTGATAAGATGGGGTAGCTACATGGTTACTTTCCATACTTTTTTTTGACCCTTTCAGCCCAGATTAGGAGAGAATCCTAATAGAGATAATTTAATCAGAGCATCTATAGGATATGTGTTTTATGGCAACCTGAAATCGGACAGAACACCTCAGCAGTGAAGCACACCAGAATTTCCGTGTTTTCCCACGAGTGCACGGGGTGCACACCATACCGTCACCACATGTAAAAAGACAGAGCCAGGTGATTGATTGATGCATGTTTCCTGTGTGTGTGTGCACATCTGCATGTGTGTCTAATGTTGCAAGCCAAACAGTGTCTGTCATCAGAATTCGGTTTCCCTCCGAGGTCCTAAATCACTCACATATGGCCCAACAGCTGCCCTTTGTTCAATCACATGTATACCTGAAAATATTTGATTCCAGCAGCTAATGAAGCAATGCTCGATTTGGATTTGACACTATGATTCAAAAAGTGATCTGGGAAACATTCACTACCCTGAATCTGAACCACAAAGATAGCACTACGTGTGAAGGTATCATTGAAGTGTAGATTACACAGGCAAGGACAGCTTGCATACATATTGAGCTAATAGTTTCCAACTTCCCTTTCATGCTGCAGCTGTTCGGCTTCATATTTATGGAAATAAGAAAACTCAAATGCTCAACACTCAAACACAGAAAATTAGGTAAACATAAAGTCTAATGCTATGGTCTGGAAATGCCTTGTGTTGCTAACTGCAAACTTTGTGTGCATCATTGTATGTTTTTTTATTTCTGATTTATTGCTGATACCTGGCCTCTCTCACTCACCTCATCCTGCACAAAAAGGGCGGATAGTAATTACAGTTCAGAGGCTTAATGATGTCTATTTATCTACGGCCTATAATCGTTTATTCAGGTAAAATGAACAAGCACATTCAAAAAGACAAATACACAGTCAAAACTCAGAGATGTTCAATGGAGAGTTGCAATTACTCCAGTCCCTCATGTCAAAGTGAAGTCTGCAGTTTTTATTTTCATTGGTTAAAGTTTTTCCTTCCTGTTAGAAGGAATATTAAATTCTGGATCGAACATTATTAGAACGCATGGGAGTTGGCAAGCAAATAGAGGGATGGGAGGATATTTGATAATTCCAATGTGGACAGATCAAGCAGATACATGGATTTGTAGAGATTAATGGAATACTGAAATGACTGAAACTCTAGTAGACAGGTGAATTATTCAATGAATGACTGATGGATGTAAAGGGTAATAAAAAGACAGAAGATGGATGGATGGATGGATGGATGGATGGATGGATGGATGGATGGATGAAAAACTGGAGTAGTGCATAAAACAAAACATTTAGAGGTTTAATAACTCCCAATCAGCTTGTTCATTTTCTGCTTTAATCCACAGGCAGCTCTTAGCAGTAAGCCTTCTCGTCCCTTATGGTGGTGGATTTAATGGGCTGCACAAACTAAGTGCTGCTAGTTTGAGAAAAAATGTTCACCGAAAAAGTGCTATATTAATCATTTATATATCAAAACTTAGATTTTACTTTTTCTAGACTTTTATGGTTCTGGTAGATTTTGCCAAATTTCCATTAACTGAGTCACAGTCAACTTATTTATTCACTGGTACGTTGATGTATCTTTTTGGGGCTCCCCACTTATTATAGTGTAAAAACATCAAACACATGGTGCAACCATGCAGTCATAGGAAACGCTGAGATTTCCCTGAAGCCATAAATTCACAGATGCTGCAGCAACTGTTTACCATGCTTACTTTTGGATCTTCATGGGGGAGTTGACCAGAATAGATCCAAGGGTTTAAAAACTTTAGGGGTATTGCAACCCTTTAATACATGTTGCCATATCCAAAGAATGAGTGTAACATGTTTGAGAAATACAACTTCATTCGAAGTTATTCACCAAAGCACAGCCGCATTAATCATGACGAGTTTATATCCCTTTAAGTTGTTTTTAGCACTCTTTGAAAAAGAAGCTTGTCAAAGTGGAAGTGGACATGTCAGACAAGAAAGGCAGTAAGGAATATGGTACTGGGATTTGAGATAATATATTTCTAAACAAGGTCTTTCAAAATAGAATTTTCTTCAAATCATTTGCAGACTAAGTCATCTCTGCTTATAATATGCAGATGCACACAGATAGATGCAGACACAAACGCTCTGACACTTGCATTAGATCAGCGATTATTTAATCAAGCTAGAAGAGTAACAGGAGGAATTAACTGGATCCCATACTGCCAGGGCCAATATCCTATACGATGGATCACACACACACACACACCCACACACACATACACACACACTTTCTTACATTCAGGTGGAAATAGGAAAAAGAAATAGAGCTGCGCAGGAGGATACAGGGATCATCTCAGATAAAGATTCACCAAATTAATCCTGTCTGTAACTTACACACAAACACCCCCCCCCCCCCCCACACACACACACACACACACACACACACAATCACGTTTCTCTATCCTTGCTGGGACTTTCCATGGCCTTCAGTCATTTCTAAACCATTTCCTCAACCTAACTGTGACCCATACCGGAAACTTAACATTACAAGTTCATACCTGAGCCAATCCTACGCTAAATTCACACCTTAGTCCTAAACCTAACTCCTAACGTAGCATTGCTAAATGGCATTTGTACCCATGGGGACCAGACTTTGGCAGGGACAGCAGTCCCCACAAGTACCCAGCAACAGGCACACAGTGTTGCTTTCATGTCTTATGAGGACATTTTATTAACTTATATACATTTTGTAGGGCCTAGCCCAGACCCTTACCTGAACCATTACCAACATAAACCTAATCCTAACCTGAATTCATACCTTATTGCTAACCCCTACCCCAACTCAAAGAAGACAATTTTACTATATGGGGACCAGGTGAATTTCCCCATATATACCCTGTAATGTAGGATATTTTAAAAAGCACTGCCTCCACATTGTAGGTAAAACAAGACCAAACACATACACAGACAGACAGGAGCTATTCACTCTTTATCCACTCTTTGTGTTTCCGTGCATTAGTCTACGTCTGCTTGCATGTCATGCGTTGGCTGTAGGAGCCTATCTCAGCTATGCTGAAATGTGCAATTAAGCAGCTT